GCATTGGGACTACAGGAAACAGCTACCACATCTTCCTGGGTTAAATACATGCCCTTAGGTGGACGGCACTTAGAACGCTGAGAATGATGGCGATGTTGTAAACTCTGATACTCTCTCCTTCCAAGTCCAATCTTGCTAGTTTGGACAGGTTGTTCAGTACTACCCTAAGAAAATAGGGACAGAGTAACAGGTCATTTGGTTTTCACAAATGTATTATAAAAATTGGAAGCAGTCTATTACCCAGTAATACTAGTAGAAGTATCTGCTGCACTAAGTACACCTAAAAAAAATATAATACTTCTAACTAATTATCTTATCTACTAGTCCATACACACACATACACATACCACTCACCGACTGCGGGGAAGCATATAACATGATATCCCTGATTAACTCAATCAAATGTTTAGTTTCTAGTCCCATAGGACTAATTTTAAACTCTAAATTTTCCTGTATTTTAAATTTCTCTGTTTGCTTCAGGATGAGATATATTTTCCATCAGCAATAAAGTGCTATGAACTTATAGCAAAAAAAAAAAAGCACTATAACTTATTAAATGCAAAGTTTCAAAAAAAGTAAAAAAAAGAAAAACGGGACAAATTAGAGATTATGACATGGCAGATTAGACAGCTGGTCAAAAAGAGATAACATTTCATTTTCATGTTGGAGTTGCTGAAAAAGAATTACGTCTCTAAAGGTTAAAAAGGACATGGAATTATCTTAACCCTGAAAACATTTCTAAACTCCTAATCTAGGAATAAAATAAACTGTGAATTTATGTCTCAGAAGAGGTTAGGAGAGTTCGAAAAATGACCATTAAGTCCTAAATAGTATTTCATTATTATTTATAATATTCTTACAGTGTGATATAAAACTACAATGTTCTTCTGTGCTTCTGAAAGGGGAATACATTAGAAACTGTGTCTATTATGTTGAAAGCTATGTCACTGAATAGATCTAACAATCCAATTCTTTAGAAAAGGAACTCCTAGTAAAATTCATAAAACAACTGTATAATGGAGCATAATCCACTTCATTGCTTAAAATCCAACTCTAAGCAACACATGGCAGATTTGATGTTCAGAGAAACTCCTCCCAGGATAGCACTCTAAAATGGCTGGATCAAATATTTTAAAAACTCTTTTAAATTTACTTCTGAGATGGCCAGGAAGTGAGGAAATTCCTCAGAGGCCAGAAATGATGAGAAAGAAAGAATCCAGAGGGATAAGCAAGTATGCAGTAGTTAGCATTTGCGTAAAGCCCAAGCTTCAGTGGACAACAGGTGCAAGGGACAGGAGACAAAGCCAGAATGCTAGAAGGGGAACTCCATCAGCGTGCCAAGTAGAAAAATAAATCCCTGCTCTGCAGAGAGAGAGAATGATTAAAGGGAATCATATCCATCTCACCCTTGGCTGAGTGGAACAAAAAGAAATCAGAAAGTCTCCCCTGAGAATCTCTAACCATAGGCCCATATTCAAACAGGCTGGGGCCTA